AGATTGCAAAATTATGTTTTTCCGTATCAGTGAGGTATAAAATGTCGAGATTTGTAAAAATCTCGATTTTTTTTGCACGATTACAAGACTTTCTCTATACGAGAAAGTAAAAAGTAATGGCATGAAAATAGACAAACGTTTAAACTACTTCCAATTACCTATTACGTCCCTTCGTAAATTCTAGCATAGTTTGGACAAGGGAATTAATTTAATAGTTACTTAAATAAATAAACATATTTAAACAAGAGCGTAAACAAAACCAAAGTTGCATGTTGATCATTTAAAAGTAACAAAATAAATTGTTCTTTCACAAATTTGATTTTTTTTCTATACTTTTCAAAGTTTTAAATTAACGTAGGGTGATAGTTACAAACAAAAGACGATATCGCTTTATCAAGATTATCTTAGACAGACTGGAACTTTGCCACTTATTATTACTAAGTTCAATGCAACTAGATAACTAATTTTGGCTCCCTTTGAACTAAGGGACATGTATCTAATTCACGACAAACATAATTACATACGTACAGAATTTTCAACTTCTCGGCCTTTTGGCTAAGATCAAAGTGTAGTATCTGTTATGGATCTACATCAGGGGTCGGCAACCTGCAGCTCGCGAGCCGCATGCGGCTCTTTTGATATCAAGATGCGGCTCTCCAGCTCTTTGAACAAATACTAATAATCTTAATAAAAAAATAAAATATTTGAAATAAAAAAAATGTTAGTGGCTCTTTAAAACCAGGGAAATTTTGAAAATTGTAGCTTTTGGCTCTTCCGCTTCAAAAGGTTGCCGACCCCTGATCTACATAAATCTTAGTCATTTGGTTTGTCAGCCCTTTTTATGGTTGGCTGCCGGGGTAGAGAGGCGGTCAATCTACTACTTAACTCATCAAGCAATCAATTGCAAATCTGGCCATCGATCGCTGTGGGGCTGCGCCCAGACATCTCTCGAAGTGCACATGCCCTCGAGATGAGTCACCCAGTACTTGTATTGGGTGGCTTCAAATGTACGAGTGGCTAGTTTTCTATTTTCTATTTTTTCAGCGTGACGACACCCACCTAGGAGAAATCTTAAGTGGGAGGTTCCGTCACAAATGCCAGCAAATCAACTCATCATCTCTCAAAGATCAACTACGCAAAACTTCCTCGTCTTTGATACACAATTACCTCGTTATTAACAACTTCATTATCACTTTGATGACACCCATCTAGGAGAAATCTTAAGTGGGAGGCTCCGTCAAATACCATCAACTTGACATCCCTCAAAGACCAACTACTCAAACAACTTTACGATTACTCAACTCTCGTAAAATAAACACTCGTCAGCAGCCTCACTTCGCCCATTTCAACTGCTTGATCAAGCTTTCGACTACTGGACCACTCTCAAATTCTTCTCATCTACAATCCTCGACACAGCAATATCACGAAAACTAAATATTCTTTAACATCATTTCGCCCATTTCAACTATTCGACTACGCAAGAATACTATACGACACAATTTTACTCTCTTTCAAACTACAATGACCAATAATTCAAAGCAACCTACATAAACGATATCTCAACACAATGACACCACCTCAACCATTCTCTCCAAGCTTCACTCCATTCGAACAACTCTACACGAGACTCGCCCTTTCACCAACGGAACATCCCTCATCGATACTCTCAAACTACAACTACCAACCAAGAATCAACCAACACCCAACCAAGATTGTAATACGCGCAAGAAACAAAGATAAGAACTACGAGAAGCGATCTTGTATTGTCCTGTACTCTATGTTATATCAAAGGAACCAAGAAAACGGAAATGAAAACAAGAAATCAGAAGAACACGAAAAATCAAACCAAGAAAACAGAAGGAAAATCAAGAAATTGATATTGTAAAATTGTGTATGCAATACTATGTATTACATGTGTATTTTAACATGCAACCTATCCACACAGCTAGCTCCTGTCTCGAAGGGAGTGAACTGTGTGGAAGGAAATCTATTAAACGCAATTAAAAAAAAAAGGGACATGTATCTAATATAAATAAAGATTAATTTTGAATAGGTTTCAGTGATGATAAATCTCTTGGTCTTTATATGATTTAACGAAATTATTTCGTATGCTTTATCTTTAAGGTATACGTAAATAAAATCGCCTCGTTACGTAACTTAAAGATGGGCCTAACTGTTTGCTAAATAATAAATATTGTAACTATTGCTTAAGAGGCGGAAGGAGATAGTGAGGACGGGACCAAAAGATTGTGTTCGTTACATCAGGCAACTAACAGTGAGCTGAAATCTTGATCAGATTGTAATAAATTAAATTAGTCCAATACACGATCTAATAATGTGATCTTTTTTTTTAGATGTGTGTTGTTTGTATTCCCTTATTTTATTGTCTTTAAATATAATAGAAAATGATATTGTTATGGCTGAACATTACATTGGACATAAACGGTGTAAAGAATAGATATTGTAGAGCGTATAGAAAGTTAAATGAGAGGGGGGGGGGTTAAGAAGAGGCATGGGACATATGAGGTTATGTGTGGGAAGGGTGGGGTGTCAAGACTTGTGAATCCTTTGTATGCTTGGGCTATTTAAGACACTATTTGCATGACTTTTTATGTTCTTTCTGTTATATATATATATATATATATATATATATATATTCACTGGATGTGCATGGTCCTCTGTCATGTAGAGCCGTCTCACACAGCACTCAGCTGCGACCGTGAGACCCAATGGATATCCACTGGAAATAACCTCGATACAGGGGCAGAGCTGTCAAGTCACCAGAGCCCGCAATGAGGGTGGGGGAGGCCCAAGGCCGTTTTAGATTGTACCTCGACATGCGGTTTGAAAGAAAAACTTTTATCCCACAATGTTGCGGATACAAAATAAATTTTAAAAAATAAAGGCATGAAAGACAGACAAACGTTTAAACTACTTCTAATAACCACCCTTCATAAATTCTAGTATTATTTAGACAAGGGAAATATTTTAATAAAAATAAATAAATAAAGGCATGAACGACAATCGTTTAAACCACTTCCAGTGACCTATTAGCTCCCTTCGTAAATTCGAGTATAGTTTGGACAAGGGAAATAATTTAATAGTTACTTAAATAAACATACATATTCAAACAAGAGCGTAAAAAAAAAGTTGCATGTTGATAATTTAAAAAAAACAACAAGACAAATTGTTGTTACACAAATGTTGTTTTTCTATACATTTTGAATATTTAAATTAACGTAGGATGATAGTTACAAACGAAAGACGATATCGCTTTATCAAGATTATCTCAGACACACCGGAACTTAGCATATTTGAATTTAATGCTCAATCCTGTCAGAAAAAAAATAATTTTGGCTCCCTTTGTATGAAGGGACATGTATCAAATATAAATAAAGATTAAATTCGAATAGGCTTCAATGACAAAAATCTCTTGGTCTTTATATGATTAAACGAAATTATTTCGTATGCTTTATCTTTAAGGTATGAGTAAAATAAAATTGCCTCGCTTCGTAACTTATTGATTGAGCTCTTTGCTAAATAATAATTATTGTAACTATTGCTTAAGAGGCGGAGAAGGGAGATAATGAGGACGGGACTAAAAGATTGTGTTGGCTACACCAGGCAACTAACAGTGAGCTGAAATCTTGCTCAGATTGTGATAAATTAGTCCAAAACACGATCTAATAATGTGATCTTTTGTTTTTTTAGATGTGTGTTGTTTGTATTCCCTTATTTTATTGTCTTTAAATATAATAGAAAATGATATTGTTATGGCTGAACATTACATTGTACATAAACGGTGCTAAGAATGGATATTGAAGAGCATATAGAAAGTTAAATGAGAGGGGGTGGGGGGGGGGGGGGGGGGCTTAAGACTTGTGAATCCATTGTATGCTTGGGCTATTTGATACACTTGTTGCATGACTTTTTATGTTCTTTCTGTTATATATTAAATATATATTAAATATATATTAAATATATATATATATATATATATATATATATATATATATATATATATATATATATATATATATGTAGGCTATATATATATAGGCTATATATATATAGGCTATATATATAGACTATGTATAGGCTTTATATAGGCTGTATATAGACTATATATATATATATATATATATATATATATATATATATACATATATATATATATATATACATATATATATATATATATATATATATATATATATATATATATATATATATATATATATATATATATATATATATATATATATATATATATATATATATATAAATGCATAAATCTCCATTACAAAAAATGTATAAAATCAATATGTCACACTCGATTATGTAACTACAATATATCTAATGACTATCTTTCTATTATAGGGAACCATATTACTGGGTAAATGCACATTTGATGAATGAATGCATCGTAAAATCGTTTAATTTGCCATAAAAAGTTGATTTACTTGAAATATGTCTACATTTTTAAGGTTTTTCATTTTAGCGACTGATCTGAAAATGAAGAGGTACAGAAGCTATCTCTGCGCCTCGCCTTCTAGTAAACACTTGAGCCAATCAGCTCTACGAAAATAGATCTTTCTTTGCTGACCACTATCACAGCTTGTATTCTGTCTTTATTCTGTACCTGTGTCTACCCTCTGCGTTGAAATATCACTTTGTGTTAATATTGCTATGTATGTAATGCAGTCCATCCTTGAAATAGCCTACAGAATACAATCTGAGGTTGTATGACAACATTAGGCTATACAATGTTATATGGTTTTTTGAAACTCGTTTCTAGGCCAAGCGCCATGGTAAAATGTAAGGCGATCTAGATCTAACGAGAAACAAATTATGTGATACAACTATTTTTTGTGTTGACTAAAACGATAAACTAAAACGTATTACATAAACGTGTGATGTGATATGTTTTTTAATCAGATAAAATAAGCTTTAATTAAGTGATACGGGCTGATTATTTTCGGGTGAAAGATATCGACTGACATTGACCTAGATTGACGCCGATTGTGTACAAGTTCAATTCAGCGACACCAAAATAGTTGCTGCATCAGAAGGAAGATGAAGGTCCTGTGTGTTGTTGCTGTGTTGGTGGTTTTCGTGGGGTCAGCTGTAACACAGGTAAGTGGTCACTATGTACACACCATTATCTTTTGCGTGGCACTGTTAGGGACAGTTGTTAGAAAATACAACGAGGAAAGAACGTTTTATTCGTAATATTAAAAGAAATCAAAATCAGTCTTACAATAGCCTATTGGCCTACATATAGATACATCATTGTGGATTATATTAGTTACATTTTGTAAATGAGGAGTACTTTTTCAAAACCTGCTAAGTCCACTTTTTGAAAAAAAAAACAACAGTTATTCTTAAAGCCTTCTTAATTAAGTAGCAGTAAAAGTAATATACTAATTTTTGTTGTAAAAGGTATAGTATAAAACACATTTCTTAACATTAGAATATAAAAAATCATAAGGTTAGTTCACAAGTAATAAGTTTTGAAGTCGATTTCCTAAAAGTAACTTATTACATTAAAGTTTTAATGGTATTTGCAGCATTATTTTAGCCGATTCTTCTTCTTCGTTCTTAATTTTAGTGTTGATTCCCTCCAACACATGTAAGTATAAGTGTCAACATAGATCCATTGACTCCGATTTCAGCCTGCTTTTCTGGATTTTCTTCCGTAACTAAGAACAAACTTACAAGGCAGCAGTTTAATTTTGGAATTGTCTCTCCTAGAAGAATGGCTGCCCGAGAGTTTGAACCTGAGACCTTTCGGCTTAGCAACCATGAGCTTTACCGACTCGACCACGCCGACCACCATTCATATCCCACCCTTAATCCTCTAATCTTGTACATCCAGAAATCTCTCTTGTTAGGTAAAAAAAAACAACCATCACATCTACCAATATAAGTCATGTAGGCCTATCGTGAATTAACAAAAATAATGGTACTGTATTGAGTGTTAGAGCTCACGACTGCGAACTCGAAAATCTTAGTTCAAATCCCGGGCTCAAGTCCGTTGGACTTCCCAGAGTCCACCCAGCTCTGATGGGTACCTGACTTACGCCAGAGAAACAAAGCCGGCTGGACATAGTGCTGACCACTTTATCCCATTAGCTGCTTAGAAAATTGAAACCGATGAACTCTACTTCATTTGTCCGATCTTTCTTGGGCACGAACTGAAAAAAAGATGATGATGGTGATCGAATATAAATAAAACTAAAAATATCCTTCATTCTTTTTTTAGAACGTTACAGTAAACTGCGAAAGTGGGAAATATCCTCCTGACCCCAAGTAAGTGTTTTTGAAAAATATAGAAATGTCGTTTATTTACAATTTTTACAGTAAATTAAAAACAATAGCCCAATAACTAGTGTAATTTATAATCCTTGTAGAAAGCTTGGTAAAAACTGACGATACACTTATTAATGAATATAAAAGTAACTTTTAAAATGTGGTTGTTTAAGATTCAGCAGAGGGGGCCCGTGTTGAAAAAACATTTATGAGTTTGATAGTCATACAATTTTTTTAGGGACATCCGTTTTAGCGGATATCTTATAATAAAACAAAAGAAAATTCATTTATGTTATTCAAGTAAAGTAGCTTAAACCATTCGGACCTACAGCCTGTCCTATGGCTAATGAAGTAGAGTTGACGTGTTTCTATGAGCGTGACTTTATAAAAGTGTATTGTTGTTAGTTCTTTACACCGCCGTCTCAATCGATTCTGAAGATTTTGAAGGCGTATTCCTCAAAAAAAAACCAAGGATTTGCACACGCTCAGAAAGCCGCCAAAAACCAAGCAGAGTTTCTTCCAGGCATCCCGAAGAAAGTCTACCGCCCCCCTCCCCCCGAACGAGATGGAATTTATATAGTAAACATATACTTTTACTAGTGTATTCCCACCGGAAAATGTAGACTGCCCCCCCCCCCCGAAAATATCAAGTGCCCCCCCCCTCCCGGAGACAAAAAAGTCTGGAAGAAACACTACGACAGTTTACAGTCAGCGTTTCTTTGTTTCTTTCAGACATTGGTTTCGGTTGTGGGGGGGGGGGGGGGGGGAGGGGGTGAGGGTAGGGGGTACGGAAGGTGGAGGAGGGTGAGCTTGGGGTGCCCCCTCGATGTATTGCCTGAAGTAAACTCCATCTACCATCACTACTTATATCGTTCTTGTTTCACGCCTGATTTAACATGAGCTGGAGCATGTTTAACCTGTCGAACGGATGTCAACAACTATCGTTTATTTGTTCAGGACCAAAGTTGACACCTATGTGATCAATCTTGACCTGTTACCTTCCCAGAGATGGACGGAGCTGGCAAAAGCCAAGGGGCCGCAGGTTTTTATTTCACCACTCATTATACCCTACCAAATGTTTTTGTGCTCTATTTTTGCTGCCGCTGTTTGACTTTAAACACGTCCAAAACAAGATATTGTTTATATAGCAATTCTAATTAATGTACTAGAATGTAGCCTCAATAATGTAAACCCTGAATTATATTACTGCAAATATCTCAATGTTCCTATTCTTCCCCATTTCACGTTATTCGACATTTAAATAAACCACCACCCCTCACATTATATAACATTACTCACAGTACCAGTGCCACTGACTTATTTTGTTAGCTACTATACTAGTGTGTGTTTTATGCAAATGCTCTACGTCAGCATTTCTTACAGTGGCGTCACTAGGTTGGCTGTCACCCGGTGCAGTAACTGAGGGTGTCAACACACTGAGGGTGGCAACACACTGAGGGTGTCAACACACTGAGGGTGGCAACACACTGAGGGTGTCAACACATAAGGGGTGTCAACACACTGAGGGTGTCAACACATAAGGGGTGTCAACACACTGAGGGTGTCAACACATAAGGGGTGTCAACACACTGAGGGTGTCAACACACTGAGGGTGTCAACACACTGAGGGTGGCAACACACTGAGGGTGTCAACACACTGAGGGTGGCAACACACTGAGGGCGGCAACACACTGAGGGTGGCAACACACTGAGGGTGGCAACACACTGAGGGTGGCAACACACTGAGGGTGGCAACACACTGAGGGTGGCAACACACTGAGGGTGGCAACACACTGAGGGTGGCAACACATAAGGGGTGTCAACACATTGAGGGTGTCAACACATAAGGGGTGTCAACACACTGAGGGTGTCAACACATAAGGGGTGTCAACACACTGAGGGTGTCAACACACTGAGGGTGGCAACACACTGAGGGTGTCAACACATAAGGGGTGTCAACACACTGAGGGTGTCAACACATAAGGGGTGTCAACACACTGAGGGTGTCAACACATAAGGGGTGTCAACACACTGAGGGTGTCAACACACTGAGGGTGTCAACACACTGAGGGTGGCAACACACTGAGGGTGGCAACACACTGAGGGTGGCAACACACTGAGGGTGGCAACACACTGAGGGTGGCAACACACTGAGTGTGTCAACACACTGAGGGTGGCAACACACTGAGGGTGGCAACACACTGAGGGTGGCAACACACTGAGGGTGTCAACACACTGAGGGTGGCAACACACTGAGGGTGTCAACACACTGAGTGTGGCAACACACTGAGGGTGTCAACACACTGAGGGTGTCAACACACTGAGGGTGTCAACACACTGAGGGTGTCAACACACCCTATCCAACACAGTCGCATTTCCTGTTTGATGTCACCCCTCTCAACCTACTGTTTATTATTCTCTTTGGATAACGCTTTATTTTTTTTAGGAAATGTTAAGATTTTTAAAAATCGGTGTCACCCTAAAAGTGGTATTACCCGGTGCGAATCTCACCCACCCCACTCGACCCGCTTTGTAACTCCACTGCTAACAACAATGCAAGAACTACCCCCCCCCCCCTCATGAAATTATAAATAAATAACTTTCAATCTGTATACAACTAATTTTACAATTTTTTTAAATAGATGAAATACCTCGTTGATGGATTTAAAGATTTTTTGATTGATTTTGGATCGATCGGCCGAGACATCGTCAATATCCTTGAGTCAAAAGGTGTAAGTATAAAAAAAGAATATATCAAAATTACCGTAAACTGTCATTTTGAATTTTTAAATGTTCATGATTCACAAAAAGTAGAACAATCAGCAATGTAGGCCAATTGAATTAGTTATTCATGCTGTGAATAAAAAAAAAACGAAACAAAACAAAACAACAACAGTTGAAAAGTTTCTCTCGATTAATAAAATTTATTTTCTCCCATACAACGCAAAAGTAAAACTTTTTAAACCTAAAGTATAATTGCCAATCACCGAAATAAAACAAAATTTTTGGAACCCCCCCCCCCCCCCCTCCCACACACAAATTTACAGTGCAAGTTTACTTATCGAACAGGGTGATTTAGATGTAACTTTACCAGACCCTTTTGCTGAGGAAATTAAAGGAATTGCTCTAGCTGCGAACATGAACCTTGGTGAGTATATTGTAGACTTTTGTTTTGAATACACCTTTTAAAACGAGGCAGAATATGTAGAGGGAATCAAATGTTAAACTTTGCATCTTATAGTTATAACGATTATGTACAAGCCAGGAGGTTACAATCCGCCCAAGTACCGTAAAAATTAAAGCGTCTTAGGTTAAGTTTCAGGTATTGGCTTTATGTTTACTATAAATTGAAAAATTGAAAAACGCCATTTCTATGAGATATTCCTGCCTAGGCCACTGCGCTTGTCCACTACTACACGTTGAATCAGTCGAACAGTTCGAATCATCGAAGTGTTCACGTATCATATAATCAAGCCGTATTTACATTTGTATTTTGTGATTGGTTCTGTAAACTTCAGTAGGCCTACTGTCTAGATGTATTAAAATAATCGATGACATCATTGTTCAACAGGAGAGATAATATTGTACAATTTGTTCTACGAGTTCTCTGCTCTTTGCACTTCTATTGTGACCGAAGACCCTTCAGGTACTTCTTTTCTTTTTCTTTTTTTTTCATTTGTACTTATTAATTTTCTTCTTTAAAAACTTTTATATTTCTTTTTACATAAAACATTTCATCAACCTTTTGGTGTTATTATTTTGATTATTGAACAGGGACACTTTATCATGCGAGAAATTTGGACTTTGGGATTTTCTTCGGGTAAGGACGTATTTTTTGTTTAGCAAAACAAGTACTTCGTAATAATAATAATGATCATAGAAATTAATTTTTTAAACTTATGTTCTTATTTTAGTTGGGATACGCAAAACAAATCGTGGGTTGTGACTGAGAGATTACGTCCCTTGATAATTAACTTGGACTGGCAAAAGGGAGGGAAGACCGTCTTTAAGTCTGTCAATTTTGCCGGCTACACGGGTGTTCTAACAGCCGTCAAACCGGTAAGTCGCAAAAAAATGTGTTAATTTTTCTTGCATCATTAAAGTTTTTTTTGCACCTTTTCGTGTATTTCTTCAAAATAATTGAAGTATATTTATTATTATTTTTAAAATAATTAAAATTCTTATTAGTATTGAATTACGATTGCTATAAAAGAAATGTTTGTATTGTACTAACTCAGCATTCTGTTTTTGATAATTTTGGTTGATAATTACAAGAAATGTTACTAAAACAAAATTTACAACTTTTTTTGTGTGTTAGAAACTATTTACCCTGTCAATTAACGAGCGTGCAAGTTCAGAAAGTGGAATAGTTGGTATGTACTTTTCTAAATTTTGATAAAAGCTATTTTCATTTTATCCAGAGTTCCCGATTTCTGTTTACGGTTTGAGGCGAAGGGAAGTTTGAAACCATTCCAATTCGAGTTCACTGCATCATATCACTTAGGGGGAGGGGGGGGGGGGAAGGGAATATCTGAGGGAGTAGAAGAGGGAAAGACGACGACACTTAAAATTTCCTTGGGCACGGGGTACACTGGCTTAAGTAGATATTTTCTATATGCATGTTATATATCTTCTTCTTCTTCTGGGGGAGGGGTGTGGAAGTCGCCGTGGTCGTGCCCAGACGTAATGGAGGAGGGAACGCAGTGGCGTAGGCAAGGGGTGGGGGGGGGGGGGCTAGGGGGGGTTATAACCCCTCCCATGGACCTCTATATATACATAGGATTGTATACATATGGAAAAATGTTTGAACCCCTCCCATGATCAATTCCTGGATACGCCACTGAGGGAACGTATCCCTCGGAGAGATGCTTGAAAGTAACTTAAAAAAAAACAGTCCTTCAGTAGGATCATACACAATTTATGACTCTGTTAATTCATCAGGTATCTTAAAATGGATTCTGGGATACCGGAACGAAACTTGGCTGGGGTTCTTGACCAGGAGGGTCATGGAGAACGCCACAAGCTACGGACAAGCCAAGGTGATGCTGGAGGACACCGTTATGTTGGCGTCTGCTTACTTCATCCTAGGGGGGAATCAGTCTGGAGAGGTAAACGAAGATGCTTTACGTTTTTTCTTTTTTGTTTTTTTAGTAATCTTTCATACTTCTCCCAGAAAGTACAACTATGTCTTAAGAATGGGTTACTAAAAATATCTCGGAGTATGTATGAGCGACCAACGGGGTTATTTCTAAATAAAGAACGTTTATATATATATATATTAGTTATATATTAGGATTTTTAAATAACTAATAGAAATAAAGGAAAAGTTCTTATACTTATAATAACCAACTTTGATTACAAATTTTAAAAAGTGAGTCGATATAAAAGTCTAAAACATAATTATCGCCATATTTAATAGTCTCCGTTCGTTTTTAATTAAATATTTATAGTTTGCTATAAACCCCTATCCGTATCTAGCGATCTGAATTCCTAACAAAATCGATCTGCCCAGTTATAGGGCTGGTAAGTAGGTCACCACCCAGTACTATGGCTCATGCAGGTTTTATTGAGCCGTAGTAATTTATCAGTATAAAACATTAAGATTTGGGACAGTAGGGCCATTCGAATAGGGCTATATAAATAACTTAACAGCTCTTTTTAATAAACCGAAAATAGAGTTAAGCACCACTTTCGGATGTAGGAAATATCTAAAAAAAAGTAATAAATTCCTACGTATATGTCCACCTACGTGAATCATGACTCAAATCATTGGTTTTAGAGAAGCGGGGTAGAAAATACGACTTTATTTTACCGAAGTCCGCTTAAAAGTAGAAAAAGTCAAATAAATAAAAAAAAAAATAAATAAATAAATAAATAAATAAATAAATAAATAAATAAATATATATATATATATATATATATATATATATATATATATATATATATATATATATATATATATATATATATATATATATAATTTTATTCACATAGCAAAGACGGTACTCACATTATTGTGCTCACATACATACCCACCTACAAACAGACACTATTGCAAAACTGGTGTTTTCTAACCCAGAAAGTTATAAATCGTCGAGATAATAATATATGAAAAACTTTTTTTTTTGGTTTTTACACCGTACACGAAAAAGCAAATATTAGAATTTTCCAAGGGAGGTGACAAATAGCAGATTTCCTATACGTCATTTTATAATAAACAGAGAAGCTTTTTAAACTGTGTTAAAAATAAAGCTCATAAATTATTATTACATAAAATATAAATATTTATATCGTCTATATTCTGTTCATTTTACAAATGAATTATTGCTTATGAACTTTTTATTTGTTTGTAATTTAAGTACAAAACCATTAATTTTATTAAATACATTTAGTTTTACAAAAGAGAAAATAACTAATTTATATAATTTTTCCGTTTTATTGCGTGAGTGTTTTTTCTGTTGCTTATCAACTCCCCATTAAAAATTATATGTCATGGAAAGTTTTGGAATGATAGATCAGTATGTGTATTACAGAGACCCTACTCCCACGGTCGTTTCTATTTCTGTCCATGGGTGGCTATAATGTGAACTTTTGACTCCGCAGCTAAGGACTGAGCACAGTAAACTAAGCAGTCAAGAGAAACCTAGTTTGCGCACCTTATTTTAGTCTAGTTCTTATGCCATTTTATTTTCTACCTTTGATTATTATATGCAATTGATTTTCATGTCTTTGATGCTGTGTAAAATCTTTCAAATAAATTATTATTACTGATTTAAATGTTTAAAACAATTGAATTAATAATAAAAAAAATAAAATAAAAAAAAAACTGTTTGGGGACTGTATAGATATAGATGTTAGAAAGGGAAGAGTGTTTGCTTTGATGTGTCTCATTGTAATAATATAACTTTTCCGATTGCTTAAAACTTGTATCATTTTAATTCTATATAATCCCAAAGTTATTTCAGCTCTACTTAAAAACCCAAATTCCACCCCCCCCCCCCGTCCCCTCAGCCCACCACGCCGTGGAAAAAAAATCCACTGAATCATCATTTAATTACACATTAGCATTTTCAGTTTCAGGTTGTTTTTTTTTTATATTTTTTTTTTATATTTAGACGCTTTGTATTAGATCTATGTATAAGTAAACCATCTTAAATGAATGAAAGTAGGCTACAAGTAAGAAAGAAATATTACTATTGTAAATCTGCATCAGTCCTCACAAGCCGGTGATGAAAACTGTAATACTAAATCGAACACACACAACTGACGCTGTAAATTACATGTCTGAGGCAAAAAAAAAAAAAAAGAAAAAAAAAAAAAAAGAAAAATCAACTCCTCTGCACATAATTAGTACTAGTTGTCCAATGTAATACTAAACGTAATGCGAAAAACAATTTAAGTACAAAAAAACGCAGCCGACCTTAATTTAATCCTCACTTCTTCAAAACCCCATAAAAACCCTTAATGGTTAAAAAGTATAAGTTACCCCTTTTTGTTGTCAGTCCCTAGTTCCGTTTTTAATCTAACGAGCCGACCCGCGGCGAATCATACGTCGATATTTAGTTGTTTTATTTTCTACTTTTCAGTAATTCATAATTTGAATGCTGCCACTGAAAATATTTGCTTTAAAACACTAAAACCCTCCTTTTCCCCAACCCCTAGCCCCCCCCCCCCCTTCTCCGTGAAAGCAGCCTCCTCTTAGTTACCTCCCCTAAGTTTAAAATAGTTTCAAAGTAAATTATATGCCCCTAATAGCCGTCACTAAACCCGTCTCTATGATTGTAAACATTTAGCGTGAACCACAGCTCACCAGACCATGTGGGGATGGGGGTGGTTGGGATATGCTTAGAGAGGAAGAGAGCCGGCTGCTAGGCGCGCTTACAGCTTGGTGTTTTCTATGATCTCCAAGAAGAGGGTTATATATATATATATATATATATATATATATATATATATATATATATATATATATATATATATATATATATATATATATATATATATATATATATATTTATATTTATTTATATGTTTTTCCAGGGCTGTGTGATCACCAGGGCTAGCAACAAAAACCTGGACACCTGGACCATGAGGAACGCCTCTGGGTGGTACGTGTTAGAGACCAACTACGACCACTGGAAGACGCCCCTGGTCGTTGATGACCGGCGTGACGCCGCCCACAAGTGTATGGACAAGACTGGCCAGGCCGTGAGTTGAATAGTTGGGCAAACGTATTTATTTGTCAGGGGCAGAGTTTCTTCCAGGCATCTCTTCGAGAGGGGGGGAGGAGGGGTAGAGGGGGCGGGGGGCATCCCGAAGAACGCCTACCAATCCCCCCAACCCTAACGAAATAGTATTTATTTAGAAAATACATACTTTTCCAAGTGTCAGCCTTCCCCCCTTCCCGGAAATATTAGTCCCCTACCCCCCCCCCCCCCCCGAAAATTTCAAGTGCTCCCCCCCCCTCCCCGGAGAAAAAAGCCTGGAAGAAACACTGTGAAGAGGTGTCTTAATTGGTGGCTGAGTTTAACAGTGTATGAATATGTCTTGTAAGGCCGTGTGTAGGATAGTTTGAACAAAAGTGTTTGTAAGGGGAGTGCTTTCCCTTTCTTCTCATCTCGCTGTTCTTATTTGTAACACTGAAGGTGATTTTCTCGAAGAAAATATATTTTTACGATCAAATATGTTATTCGACATTAGGCTCATTGACTCCGACTTCAGTCTGCTTTTGTTTTTCTTGAATTTGCTTCCAACGCTTTTGTCCACTCAAGGACAATCTGCAATGCAACAGTTGTTTGAATTGGGAGCTTTCTATTTCTCTCCCAGATGGGGGGCTGTCCCCAAATAACGAACCTCTTCTGACAGAATGTGCCGAACTTTGGACTTTCGGAGTTAGCAATCATACACAATAGGGCTGGTAAGTAGGTCACCAACCAGTTCTATGGCTCATGCAGGTTTTATTGAGCCGTAGAACTGGTTGGTGACCCACTTACCAGCCCTATTCCGCCCACGCCGTCTCCTGTGGGTGTCTGATTCACTGTCTAAATGAAACAGCTTTTTAAAAATCAAGGTTTATCTTGGGAAAATATGGCAAGTTTCCAATTGATTGTTTGTAAAATATGGCAAGTTTGCCATTGACTGTTCTAATGTTGTTTTCAGGGTATTGGATTTTCTGGACTATTCAACGTTCTTTCAACTCAACCAGTCTTAAACAAGGTAATTTAAATTATAATAATTTTTTTCAGATATACTTAATACGGTGGAAAGGTAGTGCTTATTTTGGCGAGCATTAGAGAAAATACGCAACGTGTCTCACATATGATTATGATTTATCATAATGATATTTATCATATGATTTATCATATATTTATCATATGATTTATCACCTTCCGGTGGAGAGGAAATAAACACATGATATGAGAGGATATAAGGATTATAAGCGAGAAAGTATTTCATCTACCAATGATGAAATTTTCTGAAGAAAAACAAAAACACCAATACATAAATTATAGATCTGAACGTCAAAATATACAATTTATATTAATTCAGTTAAAAAAATTTAATTTTTGTTCTGAAAAAAATCATTGATATTATTTTCTTAGAAGATGTGGTAAAAAATATATTATTGGCATTTGCACTAATAAAAAACAAACTTTCAAACACACACAATTAAGACAGGTTTTTAACTTTAAAAAAATATTTAAAAAATAACAATATACTAAATGAAACAAACCTCTTTTTAAAATTCTAAAAATAGCATCTCCGTTCAAATATTCTTAAATACGTATGCCTATAAATGAAAGCTAAATAAATATAACGGTCTGATATGAGATGATCTAATCACGTTGCTTATTTCCTCTATAATTGGCGGATTTAAGCACTTCCCAGAGGAGAGACTTATTTTATAAAAAGAAAATTACGTTGATAAAGAAGAATAGAAGAAATTGAAAAACTCAGTATTATTTTTGAATAATTATTATGTTATTATCCATGGCTCTAATCAACGAATAAAATAGTTAAAAGAAATAAATATACAACGACTGTAATTTTTAATATAATACGGATAGTTCCACATAATCTTTTACATTTTGAGTCTAATTCTGATACCAGCTAAAGTGAAATCGGCTGTATAAGCTATTTAAAATGTAAAACTTTTCCCCAGGGAACAACTTACACAGCACTGATGCAAGTGAGTAGCGGAAGTCTAGAGACGTACATCCAAAACTGTCCTGACCCTTGCGCACCGTGGTGACCTTTGACACCAACATGGCGATGTGCATAGACTTGTCATAAAATAAACGTGATTGCTGATAACCAGCGAAATATTTTGTCTTTATTGAGCACCTTCGAAATAAACGCATTAAATTTAATGTTTCTTTTTAAAAAATTAGCATCTGACAATGAGCTGAGGATTAAATGTCAATTATGATCAGTGTTTCTTCCAGACTGTTTTCTCCGGGGATGCACTTGATATTTATTTTTGGGGGGGGGGGGGGGGGCGGTTAACATTTTCCGAGGGCGGGGGGCGGACACTGGTAAAACTATGTTTTCCGAAAAGGCGTCATTTTTAAGATAATCAGTCATTTTAGAAATAAAAATTGCAATCTCAGATTGATGGGTAAGATGACGTTGGACTTTGATTTATAGAGTAGACGGTGGGGTCTAAAATTTTGTGAAGACGAGGGAAGGGCTTAAATAACGGGTTCGCTTACAGTAGATCAGAAAAAACAAAGTTTTTTGTTTTCCTGATTGTGTTAGTTTATATTGCACTTACACGTTTTAATGCTAAAGTAATTTGGATGTAAACAAGATAATGTATTTATTGAAACTCATCTGTACGGTGTAACGTTAAGAATAATATTGTATTATAAACAGTAATAAATATCAAATGTCACTCCAACTTCTGTTTAACTGTCCGCTGTTTAAAGAAACATCTGCAGATAAACCACGCAATGAGGACAATAACGATGACGAGAATAGACAGAGCAGCGTCTACAAAAGCGATCACATCAAGAAGGAGAAATTGATACAACGGCATTTCCTGTCCCGATGACCTCATGTAGTCTCCGCCATACTTCATCACGTGATCGATCCAGTAAGCGGCTTCTTAAGATGGAATTTTGTGAAGTTCCTTGAATAACTTGGACGCCTTCTTGATGTTTCTTTTGTATTTGCTGTCATACGCAAGTTCTTGTATAATGTTGCTGAGTTCTTCCGCAGATATACTTCTAATGTCTTTTTGTAAGCCGTAACCCTTGACAACGATTCTTATAGAGTTGTAAAACTGGTCGCCAAACAGAGGTAAGCAGAGGATAGGCACGGCATGATATAATGCCTCGTACTGGCCGTTTTTCCACAATGAGATACGAAGACTTTGGTCTTGGTATGGCCGAGTAGATCATTCTGAGGTATCCACTCTGACGTCAGAATTCGTTTCGGAGCAGGCGAGGTTATGCTGACTCTCCAAATGACGTTAAATTCAAGGTTTTCAAAAGCAGACGTCAATTTAGCTAAAATATGTTCAGGAAATGGAAGCTCGTTGCTACCAAAAGAAACGAGGACTATGCCGTTAGCTGATTCGTCAACAAACTTTTTGAACACACCAATCAAAGGCCTCGGCTCACAGACAGAAGATCCACCAATCAGCTTAGTGTTGGGTAACATCGGCCTGGGGTAATCTAAAATGTGATCAAGCTCGGCAATAAAAATTTCAGCTTTTAATATAATATCACTAATCGTCGTGTAGGGTTTTTCTGGTGCTATCCTACTCACAATGTCACGATCAGAGAAGATGTCGTAGCTCAGGTCTAAAACAGTGAGAAGCGTAGAGGTCAACCTATCATAGAAGCCCATGTAATTGGAAACCCTGTCTGCCACGCGTGGCTCCACGGCAGGACTAAACGGCACTCTGTGAGTCACCAAGTCGTGCACGGTACCAACTACAGCAAACGGAACGTCCAATTTGTACGGAATAACAAAAATATTTCGAATAAACTGATGCTTATCAATAACCAGAAACTCTGGTTTAAGGATTTTTATGTTGTTCATAAACTTTTCATCGGCTAAAACTTTGTTAATGAAATTTCGACACGATCTCGCTGTTGTTAAATGCTGACTCAACGATGTCTCTTTCCCTTCCCAAAAGTCACTAAATATTTTCGTATCTTCAAAAATCTGTTTCTCGATGTTGCCCAGTGTTTCCCCAAACGTTACGATCTTGATGTCTTTAAACTTGACCAGGCTGGAGTTGCTCAGGTACTCTGGCATAAACATCCACACCTCGTGACCTAGGTCGATCAGAGCCTGACCTATGTTGGCGTTGTAGATGAAATAACTTTTGGTGATGCCGGGCAACATGACGACCCTCTTGCCCGCGGCTTGTGTGAGGAGGATGACAGCACTCAGGTACAATGACGCGATTGTCAAGGCTGACATGATTTGAAATTTTGGATTGTACTGGATTGAAATCTGAAAACAAAATATTTTAAAATAAAGTTACGGATGAGCATGTCTTATTTTCACATTGTTTTATCTCGTTCTTGTTTAGAGAAATGCTTGTTAAATGATTTTACATACAGTTTTGTTCTTAGAAGAAGAAACTTTTAAGAAAGATTAAATTAAGTTTTACTACATGAAACTTTTAACGAAACTTACATTTAAGACGTTACATTTTTTTTTTTTGTAAACAACCAGTACACTATCAAATCCATGTATTTATTTTGTTGTTACTTTAAATAATATTATTTTATTAACTTCGGACATTTGTTTTTAAAAATCTCTTACGAATAGAATCAAGTTTCGTTGATATTTACATTTGCCTGTAAAGCTATTTTATAACCTGCATAAATATTTTTTTTTCTACTTACAAAGTTAACGCTGCGTTAGGTGGACTGCGAACTTTCGACACTAAAGCACTTCCTACTGAATCAATTAAAATTTAATTAGCCGATAAACCGTTATATTGAGAGCAGTCTGTGAGCAGCTGGCTACATAGGCGTGGCGAGGGCGTGGCGGGGGGGGGGGGGGGGTGCGGATCGCACCTGGTGACACCATTTAGGGGGAGGGTGACACCAAGGCAAAAAAATCGCAAAATGTACTAAGAAAAATGCTTTTCGCCAGTTCCATTAATGATTAACTAAAGTTATATAGTCTTTTTCAGTACAAATCGACAATTATTACAACGTGCTAACTATAGAGAAAACAATGTTACATCCAACTTTATTATCAACAGACTATAGATAAACATCGTTACTATCAGTTCTGCAGTGATTAACGTTTATACACATACATACATAATACACACACACACACACACACACACACATATATATATATATATATATATATATATATATATATATATATATATATATATATATATATATATACTTTGTTTCATGTGGTTGGTGGGGTGGGGGGTTGACACCACGAAGTGCCGCACCGGGTGACACCCGACCTAGCGACGCCACTGGCTGGCTAGATATAATTCCACGCACCAGATGTTTTCGCGAGAAAACATTACCATTGGTCAGGAATTGGTAGTGTGTTACCGAAGAGTTTTCCCTTCCGGTGCATAGGGCACAGTTGGTGTAGTTAATTTAATACAGTTAGAGGAAGAAACGAGATTTGCTGTAAATAGAAATAAAACACGAGCAATATCTAGCCAAATAAATTTAAAACTCAGTTCGACCTTTTTGAATAGAAACTATCATCACTAGTTATCCTGATCTGATGGGGAAAACAGAAGTTGGGTTTGATACGTACCGTGATAAAGGACATCTAGCTATGATGGATACCTGGCTAAAAATGGGAACATCTAGCTGTGATGGGTAACTGGACAAAAGTAGGAACATCTAGCTATGATGGGTAACTAGCTAAAGTTATGAACATTTAGCTGTGATGGGTACCATGGCTAAAGCTGGCTGCCTTGCTTAAGTTTGAGTTAAATTATTAAATCCTGCTTATCGTGGTATTTTACTGGGGATTATTTTTAGAGACGGTAAAACAGTCGCTGAATACGGTAAATTCAAACAAACATTTAGCCTTTACATTAGGGATGCAGTTATAGATATGTTATCGATGAAGAAAAAATTAGGTTAATCAGATGAGTGTGCGTATGTTATTCTAAAAGGTAAACCAAAATGATATAAACTTAAATTAGAAGCTATTTAAAATGACAAATTTATATAAATTTGGCCTATGTTTCACCTTTTAGTTTCCACCTGTTGTCCAATTAGGATGATGATATCATTTAATCAAGTGACCTGATCAAATATCATTTTGAAATTCATTGCTGGTTTTAAATTATTACTGGACCACCCATTATCATTTGAGTAACTGTGAGTTTAAGGGGCCATTAATATATATAGCGTCACTTTTTTTTGACGATTTCTATCTACACCCCCCCCCCCTTCTCCCTTCCCCCCACCCCCACTGTCACACAGCGTCACAAAAGTTCAGACCCCCACATATGAAAAGACATAACACCTCAGCCAACATGTTTTTTTGTCTATTAAGAACATCGATTTTGGCTGAGCATGGTGCTAACCACACTATCCCTACATATGCTGACGTCACTCAAATAGGTGAACTCTACCTGCCCCGTGTCCCGCCAGGTCCGAAAGGCAAGCTTACCATACACATCGATAAAGAAGTCACGCGTCAGCTTACATGTTTTTGTCTTTTAGCACGTCGATTTATTTCTTTAATATTGTCTAAGCTCTGACCTTATGTGAATTAAGCTCCCTGTGTCTGTGTTCATTTTCATTTTTTAACTTGACCTGTACTTCTAGATTCTTTTTCGATTGTCTTTTTTTACTACTACGTTGGCAAGGTTGAAACAAATAGTGCACCAAATATTGACCCCTTAACCTTCCATTTCCAGACCGTCAACATTTTTATTAGGGTGTCCACAGATAGAATGAACGTCCGCACTATCTGCACGCGTGGGCGTCACTGCTTTCCTTTAGGCACACAACACGTGGTTAAAAAAAAGAGGATTCTTCACCAATCCACGTCTTTCTTTTTACTCGTGGATTGAATTCTTACCAGTATTTTCAGTGGTAAGTTTAGTCTCTTCTTCAGGTTGGTCTGTTTCTTCCCGTTGTATTATTTTTACACTTTCTATTATATTTTCGTCTGTCTGTAGGGGCCTACTCCTTGTAAAACATCTTGGAGTAGCTGAGATGTTGTGAGACCCACTTTAGCTTTGCAACCAATGAGATCTTCAACATGTGTTCTTTGAATTCCACAATGTAATGCCCTGCTTTTCATAAGCTTCACGAATCTTATTTCCTTGCTCCAGCGGTCAGTTTTGTTTTTGGATCCATGTACACAGCATATTTTCGATGTCTTGCTTAGCTCTTTCGACACATCCAAGCTTATGTAGTGGCACCGCTTCCCATGTACAATGTTCAAAATGGGACGGTATTCCTTCATACTGCTGACCACTTTATTCTGCCTGCCACTCCAAACACGGTAAATATGTTTATCAAGTTGTAAGCTACTTCTTCCGCTCTCTTTGTTTTGAGATGCATGAGAACCACAAACTTGATGAGATGATTCCGTTTTAAGGGTGGAACTGAAAGTCGATTAGATTCACTTGGAAGCTCGAATCGAAATGAGAAAATACCAAATTCTTCACTACAATGTCTTTCTTAACACCTTTTTGCATCTTCTAGCGTGGCTTACAAAGGTGAAGATAAAGTTTAATATTATGACGCCCAATCTGTATGTGAACGACTGTAGCCTGTCTGTATTTGCCTAGTTAACTCGTGAGAGAGAGAGAGAGAGAGAGAGCTCTGGTTTATCAGTGTTTTAAATGAAATGGAATTTTTATAGAAAATATATACTTTTAACAGTGTCCGCCCCCCCCCCCCCCCCCCCCCGACATTTTAGTCCGCCTCCCCAAAAATTTCAAGTCCCCCCCCCCCTTTCACCCCCGGAGAAATAAAGTCTGGAAGAAACACTGTATGAGACCTTTTATTATTTCTAAAATAATGTGGAGAGCATAAAATTTACTGTATTATGTTAAATTTGGCTGAGAAAATACCCCACAGCAGCAACACTCCAATCGATAGAACAGCGAGCAAACTTTAATAAACAATCTTTTTGTTTTCCTTTCACGGAGATGCTAAACATTAGATTATTGTTCTCCTTATTTTTGTTTTCAGTGACAACAGAAATTTTGAAAATACCCCGCACTTTAATAGGCGATTAAAGTACACAGACAAAACAAACCGCAAACATTTTTATAGCCGTGCCGGATGTTGTCTAAAGTGTTGATGGTCCACGCAAGACGCTGAAAGAGATACGCTTCAGATAAAGACTAATTCCGTTTCAGTACAATGACTTTTCGTAAAGGGTAGTTGAATAGGTCAGAGCGACAGACTTACAAGCCCAGTGAATTCCCTCGCAGTTGATGTTGAGGATATTTTCGGCTGAGCGCTTCACATGTACTTTAAGGGTTCCTCACGCGTCCCCTTTTAAATAGTTATAAGACGAAAGACAGAGGCGTGCGGTGTGATTTCCGACCAAGGACCAGCTAATACTAATTGCAATAGGGCCGGTAAGTAGGTCACCAACCAGTTCTATGGCTCATGCAGATTTTATTGAGCCGTAGAAGTGGTTGGTGACCTACCTACTCTGGCTCAAAATTCGTAATCTCGTTAGACAGGGAGAGATATACATTTTCAAACTAAATTAATAGTCGATACATGATTCCCATTTTCTTCTTCTTTTTCTTCGTTCTTAATTATTAGTGTTGAAGGGGATCGAGATTTATCTGCCAGTGAGTTTGAACTCGAGACTTTATTCGAATTTATCAACCATGAGCTTTTTGCCGACTCGACCACGCCTCCAACACAATTAAGCGTTACGTGTCAACTGGTTATGCGCCATTGAGGCCATTGACTCCGATTTCAGCCTGCTTCTCTTTTTGGATTTGCTTCCATAGCCTTTGTCCAACCAAGAACAAACTACAAGGCAGCAGTTGTTTAATTTTGGAGTTGTCTCTCCTAGAAGAGTGGCTGTCCCCAGCTAACGAGCCTTATCTGCCCGAGGGTTCGAACTCGAGACTTTTCGGTTTAGCAACCATGACTCGACCACGCCGACCCTATGATTCCCATTGATAACAACAACAAAAAACAGCACTGCGATTATTTGTTTCTAGTTTTCGCTTCAAGATTTTAAAAGTACCAAGAGTACCCAAACTGCAACAATTATAATTTTTTTTACTAATAATAGCATCAAATTAAGTAATCAATTAAGCTTAAGCTTTTTATATTATACGAGCTGACCCTCGACGTAGCATACGCCGCAATCTAGTTGTTTAATTTTCTGCTTATCAGCAATTCATAATTTGGGGGTGGTAGCGATTTGCCTGGAGAGCAGGGGAGTAACGGCGTGCATCTACGTCTTGTCCTGCATGGTCCACAAGAAGAGAATTATATATATATAGATTACTTTAGGACAACTTGTTGCTGATTCGAATAAATAATAACAAACTGTACGTTTATGTAAAATAATCACAATTTAAGTAGGCTAATTTTTTAAGCAAGCCTACATCTTGCAATCTATTATTATCATTGTTTACACTTTTAAAAAACTTACCAATAGCGGAAGTAACTATTTTATTTATTTTTTTACCGATTTAATGAAAACATTCACATTAATTTATGATAGATTTATGACAGTTTGGGTAGTGGTTTGTGTGTGTGTGAGTGTGGGGGGGGGGGGTGACAGAGGGTCGGACGGTACAGTGGTGCAAATTTTAAAGATGGTGTGCAGTGTTTCTTCCAGACTTTTTTCTCCGGGGGCGGGGGGGGGGGGGGGGGGGGCGGGGCACTTGACATTTTCGGGGGGAGGGGGGGGGGGGGGCGGACACTGTTAAATGTATATATTTTCTATATAAATTCCATTTCGTTCGGTGGGGGGGGGGCGTTAGACTTTCTTGGGGGGGGGGGGGGGCTAAGCCCCCCCGCGAGGAGATGCCTGGAAAAAAACTGATGGTGTGTCTGACATTTTGTGACGCTCTGTGGTAGTTGGGGGTGGATTGTGTTAAAAAGTCAGCTAAGGCAGCGTGAAGTCATTTACGGGCAAACCCTATTCGAGTCTCCGCCTCTGACGAATGATTGTGCGTCACGGTCGAGTCCCTCTACCTGGCATAAACCTGGCTGAACTGCCTGTTTACATGACTGCTTTCACCCACAGCACGGGTCGAACTGCATATATTATCCAAGCGTCTTTAATACAAAAAGAATTCAGGTCGCAGCACGGATCAAACTGCGGGTATAATACAAGTGTCATTGAAAAAAAAAATTCCAGTTCGTGTACATGCTGCCGTAGAAGATGTTGGATATTGTTCTGGTGTTTGTGTTGGTGCTGTTGTCGGTGTGGTGGTGGAGCACACGACGTCAGACGGGTTTACCACCTAGTCCTGGCATCGCTCTACCACTTATAGGACATCTACACTTGATGGAGCCAGACCCTACCAGGCTGTTCAAGGAATGGAGAAAAAGGTTCGTTTTATTGTTATAGGGCTGGTAAGTAGGTCACCAACCAGTTCTACGGCTCAATAAAACCTGCATGAGCCATAGATCTGGTTGGTGACCTACTTACCAGCCCTATACTTTAGCTATGAACGTTAAAAAAATAATTTATGACCGACTACGACTGTTCGAGGGGTGTGTAGGGGAAGGACGAGTGTAATCTTTGCCTCTAAGTTTTTGTCTATTTCTACTGATTAATATTAGATCTAGTTTAAAATCAAGAAACTCTAATGTTTAGAAGTTACTCTATGCAGCTTAAATATCTCAGAATATTAAAAACGATTACTATTATTATTAACTTACATTTCAAAATGTTACGGTGAAATACAAGAGTGATAAACTTCTATCTTGCTAGAAATTTTGAGCTCGATGTTTTCATGTTGTGTATTATATCTAGAAATATATTTTTTTTAAAATATTGGTTCACTATTATCAATTAAATAAGTAACGCTCTTTAAACTAGTCTTGCGTTTTAAAAAAAATAATTAATTGATACATAAAGAGAAAGTTGTCGGTCGTGATTAAGAGATTACGTCCCTTGATTGTTCACTCAACTTGACAAAAGTCTCATGTTTGAATCCGGGTTAGAGCCAGTGGAACGTCCCTGAGTCCACCCAGCTCTGATGGTTACCTAACTCACGTTAGGTAAAGTAAAATCTGCTGGGCATAATGCTGACCACATAATCCCTTCATATGCCGAGGTAAAAAAAAATCCATAAATCTTTTTAATCCATAAATATATTTTGTTAAAAAATGTATTACTTTAACTCAATTTTCAACTTGTTTTTAATTTTTACTGTGTCGTATACGAAGTATACAGGAAGTATTGTTATTGGGCAAAAAATTGAAATCGAGATTTTCACAAATCTCGACGTTTCACACCTCCCTGAGTCGTAAAAACATAGTTTTGTAATTTTGTCTCTATTTCTGTGTATGTATGTGTATGTGTGTGTGTCTGTGAACACGATAACTTGAGTACCGTTACAGCTGGGTTGATGAAATGTCATATATAATTATATCAAATTTGTAGTTCTGTATCAACTTTCCAGCGAAACGGAAAAAGTTGAAGAAACAAATTTATTACTTTAACTCCATTTTTCAAAGTGTTTTTATTCTTTTTAAATAATGTTTATGTCCCTTCATGTATGGAGTATTATATAATTTATTCTCTATGCTACGCTATAGAATAGAAAGAGTTGTCGCCAATGCACTTATGTGCTAGATATCTTTTTGATTAAAAAAAAATTTAAAGTTCATTTAGACAACAATAAAATTTCATTCAAATAGTTTTTTACTTTCTCGTATATACGAAGTATAGAGAAAGTATTGTAATCGTGCACAAAAATCACTTGAAATTTTAACAATTTTCACCGTATTACACCTCAGTCCTTCATCACATCCGAAGTATAGAGGACTTATTTTAATCGGGCAAAAATTATCAATCCAGATGTATCAAAATTAAGAGGTTTTGTGCGTAATCCAGTCTGAAAAACTGGGCTTTGCAACTCTGTCCGTATGTCTGTGTGTGTGTGTGTCTGTGTGTCTGTCCGTGTGTAAACACGATTACTTGAGTACCGTTACAGCTAGGTTGATGAAATTTCATATATAAGTAGTTTATCAAAATCGTAGATCCGTATCAACTTTTGAGCGATTTCCGAGAACCGGAAGTGGTACTTTTTCTACTTTGAATTTTTAAAAAGCCTATAACTTGAGTATTATTTCACATAGATAAATGAAATTTCACACATAAGTTAAAGATCTAATTCTCTACCTTCTGTTAAATTTTGAGTAATTTCCATTGACCGGAAGTAGTAATTTACGCTACTTCCGATTTCTCAAAAAACTAATGTAAATTTTTAAAGTACTAATAATATTGCGCACTATTAAACACTCTTTTATTTAGCGTTCACTTGGTGTGCAATTCATTTGTCTACGAGATTTTATTCTATTTTTAAAACTTTAAGTATTTAAAATTGATTAAAAATCATGTCTATAGCCCGAGTTCCCATCCCCTGTTGTTTTTTATAAGAATATTCGAGAAAGTTTAGGGGAGATCACTCCCGGTTTATTTATTTTAGGCATCTGGAGTACCAACCACTACAATACAATTCTGAAGTATATAAATAACAAAAAGTAAAACAAATTGATTTCTACTTTACTTCTCAAAATACAACGTTATTAATATTACAGAACGAAAATTATATAACATATATATTATATAACATATAATATAAGGTTTTTAGTTTCTGATGTTCAAATCCTCAATTTAGTAAATGTAACAGGTTTAATTTTAATTATTAAAATATATTTTTTTTGACGGACTTGCGATGTCTACACCAGGGGCGTAGCGAGGGGAGGGTGGGTGGGGCGGCCGCCCCGGGCGCTGACTCTAAAGGGGGCGCCAAACGGGGTAAATAAAATAATGTAAAAAAAAACTCATTCTGAGCTGCACTGCTGAATGGTACACAGCCGAAGTTTAAAAAAAATAGATTACTGCTTGGCTTTCCTTATGAACTTAATTGTTTTCAATTTTTGACTTAAAATGGGTGGGAGGGGGGGGGGGGCTTTTCTAGACCATGTGGTGCGAATTTGATAGTTTCCGCTTGGCGCCGGAACGAGTCGCTACGCCTCTGGTCTACACTCCTCAGCACGATCAACTTTATTGTATTGCTCGAATTGTATTCCCTCTCTTTACATCATTAGCTAGGTCTTCGGTCCACTTAAGCATTGAACAAACTGCATATTTTTCTTTCAGACTTGGTGATGTCTACACCCTTATGTACGGCCCACACCGAGTCGTCATGGTCAATGGCTACAAGGCCTTACACGAGGCTTTGGTCAAACAGCACGAGGTGTTCATGAACAGGGCAGACAGCTTCCTCCACACTATGCTGTTCAACAACCGCGGGGTGATTTCCCTTGCCGATGACGAATGGAAAGAGCAAAGAGCTTTTCTTCAGACGACTTTGAAATCTCTGGGCATGGGCAGGAATGTTATGGCGGACAACGTGGCCACAGAGATTGGTTTTTTGTTGGACGCCTTCAGAGAAACACGCGGCCAGCCGACTAATTTTAGAATGTTATTGTCTGCAAGTGTCAGCAATGTCATTTCATTGGTCACGTTTGGTCGTCGGTTTGATTACACGGATCCAGAATTTCTACACATGCAGGCGCTAACTGTACGAGCTTTTGAGCTTGTACCGCCATCTTCACCTTTACATTTCTTTTTCCGTTTGATCAAGTACTCGCCCGTGGATCTATTTCACTATCGCGAACTGCAGAATTACATTCAGTCAATGAGATCTATTTTCCAGAAAATGATAAATGAAAGCAACAATGCGCACGATTCCGGTGATGACAGTAAAACGTGTGTGATCGAATATTATATTGACGAAATAAAACGTAAAACTGAGGCCGGAGAAACAATGACCTCGATAAACTCTGAGAATCTACTGTACTCTGCCTGGAATCTGTTTAACGCCGGAACAGACACGACTAGTACCACGTTACTTTTTGCCATACTCTACATGACTGTGTATCAAGATGTACAGGAGAAACTTTACGAGGAGATCAAGACGATTGTAGGTACAGAAAAACTCCCAGATATGTCCCACAAAGCGCAGTTGAAATACGTCAACGCGTTTATCCTTGAGACTCAAAGATTTACAAGTCTTATTCCATTGAGCTTAGACCGACTGACAAGAAACGACACAAAATTACTCGGTTATTCAATCCCAAAAGGCACAGTTATCCTTCCTGTTCTGGACTCCGTGATGTGGGACGATGACGTGTGGGGAGATCCAATGACGTTCCGACCAGAAAGGTTCCTTAAGAACGGTGTTCTGACCGTGAAGAAAGAGTTCCTCCCCTTCTCCATAGGACGCAGGAGTTGTCTTGGCGAGTCCCTGGCTGTGACTGAGTTGTACCTGTTCACCACAGCTTTCGTCCAGACGTTCCAGTTTTTACCTGAAGATCCCAGCCACCCGCCTTCAGTCGTTGGACGGCACGGGTTCACGAGAGTACCTGAGCCGTTTAATGTTCGAGCAGTTCCAAGACAGCGTTAAATGTTTTAACAAGCTTAAATTAAAGCTAGTTCAGAAAAAAATATTTTACTTTCCTATGTGTATATAAAATTTAAAACTATTTTAAATATTTCATTCCATTGTTAGGCTTGTCCGTGTATAGGTAATTATATCGTAGATTATCATATATATGTTTTAGTATACAACCAAGATCAAGGAATGCAAAAATTGTTTCGTTTTTTAAATTTTTCTTATGAAGTTAATACGTGCATATGCCGTAACTGTCCTAACAATGTCTTTACTTTCGATAAGAGTATGGAATTGTATTTTTTCCTAACATGACGAGAACTACTGAATGTAAGAACAGATTTTTTTCCAGGGAGGGGGAGGTTGCACTTAAATTTTTTTCGCGGGTGGGGGCGGACGCTATTAAAATTTATATTTCTATATACATTTTTATATTACGTTCGATTTTTTTTTGGCGTGGGGTGTAAGAAAGCTGCATTTTTGTATAAGTGGATATATCTTTTTTTAACTATTACCTGAATAAAATACATTTAATTGTTAGATTTTAGATTGATAACTTTATCGAAATACGGTCGTTATTGATTGAAAGAAATTTATTTCTAACGTATAATTTATTTCTAATTTTCGCATTGTGAGAATCAGGGTCGAAAATAAAACTTCTTACTAGATCTAGATCTAAAAACAAAAATGAAAAGTGTTTCGTACAGACTATTTTCTACCTAGGAAAGTGGTGGGGGGGGGGGGGGGGGGGGGGGGTAGGGGAGGCTGGCACGCAAAACTTTGGCGGGTGAGAGGGATGGGTCGGACTTTCATTTCTTGTAGGCCGCTGGTTGAAGTATACATTTTGCATATAAATTCTATTTCGTTATTTCGTTCGTGAGAGGGGGAGGGGTGAGGACCAATGTGCATACAATAATGCTGTCTACTCAATGCGCCTACAACATTCTAACATGGCTTGTTACTATGTTCATTAATCGAGTTGAAAATTACAAATAAAATAATTTAGCTTATCGGAGTGGATTCTTTACATGTTATGACTATTCATGATAACCGTTAATAATAATATCTGATTACTTTAATGTATTTGAAAATAACATGTGAACCGCCTCCATAGCTCAGTGGTTAGAGCACTGGTCTTGTAAACCAGGGGTCGTGAGTTCAATTCTCACTGGGGGCTAGTGTTATATTTTTATTTGGCTAATTTTTTTTCTTTTGACTATTTTGTCAATTTGTTATTTTTTAAATTTACAAATTTGCTTTTCATTTTTTTTTCTTTGAAAAAATAACAATAAACTTTACATGTATTTTCGTACAAGAATGTTGTGTTTGAGTGTTAAGAGTATTGGAAAGCGTTTTTATAGCAAAATGTGTACAAACTTAAAGGCAGAAAAAATATTTTTATCTTTTCTCGTATTGGTGAATCTGATAGATTTTTTAAATAAGGTTTTTACTTTTATTTAATACTTTTACGAATATTTGTTTTGCCGCTTTAATATTTCTAAAAAATAATTTTTAAACCCTACCTGGTACGCATTTGGTCAAACTTTTTTTGTCAAAATCAGCAGAGTAAAATTACAAAAAAACTCATCAAATCACACCCGTCTGCGAGTACTCTACGTGCCATTAAAACTCAATGGAATTATATTTTCTATCATTTTAAAAGTAAATATTAGCATATCATTTATTAAAAGAATTACGCTAAAGAGTTAAAAGAATTTTAAAAGGATTTTTTCTACTCAAGACAGTGTAAAATTATCATTAAAAAAACAACATAAAAATTATAAGTAGTTCCCTCTTTAGCTTATAGCTAGAATAACATGGTAATTTATCCATTCTGACCGATGTAACGAATGTGTCCTTATTTTTTTTTTAATTCGGGTCTCCTATCGGCGCCCACTGCTCTGCAAAATCTCAATGAGTGTTATCGTGTCTCTTTTATAGGCTAATGAAAGTCACACTAGTAGTAGTCATTATTGTTTCAGTGGTGTTTCTTAAGACCTGATTTAATCCACGGGTCTGGCACCCCCTCCCCTCCCCAACAACATACAAGCAGTAGGCGTAGTTTCTTGTTAATTAAATCATTTGACCTTAAGCAAAACAAAAGATGTTTAGAGCCAAGAAGCCAGTAAGTTGTGTCAGCAGAAGCCGTTATAATTTCACCAGTCGTCAGGAACACATGTTAAAGGTTATGAACTCTGGCTGACCTCTATATCAAAAGAGGTCATACAGTATACCGAAATACTTTACAGGTCCAGAACTATTCTTTAAGGTTTAGTTGTACCTGCCACAAGTGACCTAGATAGGTGGGTAAAGCAACGACACAAGCTCCTTAGCCTGGATGGAAGACGGTTCTTGAATCATTCCATTTATCGTTTCTGGAAAAGTTTTCCAGCATGTTGGATATTGTGTTGGTGTTTGTGTTGGTGCTGTTGTCGGTGTGGTGGTGGACCACACGACGTCAGACGGGTTTACCACCAAGTCCTGGCATCGCTCTACCACTTATAGGACATCTACACTTGATGGAGCCAGACCCGACCAGGCTGTTCAAAGAATGGAGAAAAAGGTTCGTTGATTGTTTTTTTTTTTTAAATTTTATTTGGACGATAACTGATACTAGAAAAATTATCATCTACCAAGCACTACTCTATACACATGTTTTTTTTAATTACAATTATATTTCAGAATATTATTCGTTTAGTGATTGTCGTATGAATCACGCCTTGTCGGAATCAATGTTTCTTCCTTACTTTTTACTTCGGGGGGGGGGGGGGGGCACTTGAATTTTTAGGGGTGGGGGCGGGTGGCGGACTAAAATTTCTGGGTGTGGGGGGGGGGGGGGGCGGACACTGTTAAAAGTATATAATTTCTTTATAAATTCCATTTCGTTCGGGGACAAGAAGGGGGGTGGACTGGAAGAAACTCTGGTAGGTATACGGGCGGGAGTGAGAGATTTTCATCTGAAATTTTTTGTCAGGGGTCATTCTTTTATTCTGACATTATACGAATGCTCGACCCTAAATGTTTTCATCAGTCCAACTTTGATCTTCCATATGGTGTTCTTGTTTAATAACCCAAATTTTAATCGTATATTTATTATATAAACTACGTGGACAAGGACCCAGATTCCGTCTTCAACTGTAACTAGTCTTTGCCCCGCAACCCTCACACATAACTTAGAGTAAAATCACTTCTGCCAGCACGGGTTAAACAGTGCGTGACGTTTTGTACTTGTAACCGTTCACTAACCGTCCTCTGGCTGTCATTCAACATTCTATTTTGACACATTCGTACTTACGAAGATTTTAAGCCCAGATAAAATGAATGACGGCCATGAAACCGTATAAAGTATTAACTTAAATTTAAAAAACAAAACATGTGATAGATGAATCACATGTACTGCTGCAAGCTTATCAAGCGCGTAAAGGTTACTAAACATTTATAAGGCTATTGCAGGCAAAGATAAGCGTATGTAGAACACATCTTACAGAGAGGATGTAATGTAGTTTGGATATAAATATAAACATTTGAATTTGATCTTGAGGCTTGCAGGTTAGCAATGTTGCGCTCTACTATTCTATACGCATTTTACAATAAGTAAAGTTCCCTTTTTGAACAAGACGGTCCATGGGGAAAGTGAATTAGAGTTTACCAGTTTCTGTGACCTCGGCATATGAACGGATAGTGGGGTCAGTGCTATGCCAAGCCGCCTTAACTCACCTTAACGTTAGTACGGTACCCATTAGATCCGGGTGGACTCAAGGACATCTTACTGATTTGAATCCAAATTCGAGCTCCAGACTTTCGGGTTAACTGTCTAGTGCTCTACCACTAGGCCATACTATCCCTTATATTAATTGTACTATGATTCATTATCGGCATTCGTTAAATAACAATGACAAATCAACAACATCGAGGCTGCTTCAAATATAAATGTTACAATGCTTGTCTAGAAACTAAGATGCTTTCTTCATATCCCCCCCCCCTTACTTACGCTTTTTTTTCAAACTGAATATTTTACACCTCAAACACCTCTTAAAACTGCACGAACTTTGAATGTATGTGGTGTTCTAGTCAGCCCAAATATACCTTTGGTAGTCGGCAAATTGTTGGGATCCTCGGGCAGCAAGTGAAAAGTGTGCACCAAAGCCGCAATAATCAGATAGCGTTCCATGACAGCCAGAGACTCCCCCACGCAGTTGCGGCGACCGACGGAAAACGGCAGAAATTCTTTTTTAACCGTCAGCTCACCGTTTTCTAGAAATCTCTCAGGTCTGAACGTCATTGCGTCTCCCCATATCTTGTCATCCCAGAACAGAGAGTCAAAGACAGTTATCAGGAGGGAGCCTTTTGGAATAAAGTAACCGTTGAGCGTCGTGTCTACGTCTGCTGTGCGGTCGAGTCCAGTAGCACTTACATTTCCAAATCTCTGTGTCTCAAAGATAAACGCGTTAAGATATTTTAACTTTGACTTGTGAGACATGTTAGGGAGAGTGTCAGTTCCAACGACGTTTTTCATCTCTTCGTATAACTTGTCTTGTATTTCTGGGAAAACAGACAATTACAACACAGCAAACATAACGGTGCTGGTTGTGGTGTCTATACCAGCGGAGAACAAATCACAACAGCTGTAAAGTAAGTTCGAAAGGGTGATGGACGTCTTCGTTTCTGTGTCTGTTTCTTTGCGCTTTATTTCTTTCACGAAGATTTCAGTCATACACATGTATCTTTCACTTTCCTCAAGTTTGGTGTTGTTTTCAATCATTTGTTTAAAAAATCGTTTAACAGCCTGCCGCACCGATATTATTTCATGAAAGCCAAACAAATCACCGGGAAGGTATTTGATAATACCTGGGAAAAATGAAGCATCGACATGTTTGATAGCCAGACGCTCCTGAAGGTTGAGAAAAAAGGGATCTTGGTAGTCAAAACGTCGTCCTGTGGTTACGTTACAGACAATGTTGCTAACACATGCACTGATTTGTTTTTTCACATCAGTTGGTTCACCTTTCAACTCTTTTAAAGCATCGAGAAGAAATTTTATTTCTATGCTGATACGCTCGGCCATGACGTTTTTCCCAATGCCCATAGATCTAAATGAATGACGAAGAAGAGTTCTTTGCACTTTCCATTCTTCACCTTTAAGGGAAGCAACTCCTTTTCCTTTCATAACATGATGGTGGATAAAACTGTCCGATCTGTTCATGAATACCGAATGCTGTTTCACCAGAGCTTCGTGAATGACGTCATATCCATTGATGAAAACAACCCTTTTTGATCCCAACTTTAAAGAGAACACGTTTCCTAGTCTGTAATTTAAAAAAAAAAGATTTTTAAAACGTTTATTGTATCAAACTTTTAAATATAATATAAACTAAACAAAAAATTTAGCTTTGGTAAGTTTTAAGTTTTCCGCATTAGAAACATGTAAACTATTATTTTTTAGCAAATTTCAGATTTAGGTTCGTACTTTCCTTGCCTATATTACAGATAGTTGTACAAAAAAACATACGCATAAAAGCAAGTGGTTAAATTTAACCAGAACTTTGAAACTCTTCTTTCTTTCAAGCTTTTAATTAACTCACTTTCTCGTCATTCTGTCGTCAGTCTCTTGTCAGTCTGTCGTCAGTCTGTCTAGACCGAAACGCCAGAGCGAACTTGCAGGCACTTCTAGCTGACAGATACGGTTCGTAGTTGGTACGTGGGTCAAGACATGAAGACAATGCAACATGACATTAAATTAATCTAAATTGGTTGCCTGATTAATTTTTTATGAATTAATTAAAAGTTTGTCCAAATTAGTAGGCTGTCTTATCAAACTATTCCGCGCTATTAGACACGAGTCATCACGTTCAATAGGTGCGCAATGGTTTTTAGTCGTGCAACTCAAGTCTAAATAAAACATATAAGTAACTAAATTTTTTTTTCATAAAAAACGTTTTAATAACAAGCTTTTATTTACTAATGCACTAATAAAGTAGAAAATAAATTAGTTTCTTTAAATGTATAGTTATACACTCCTATTTAAATAACTATAAAGAAAAGCGTGAGTCACTTTATTATCTATAGGATACCTTTACTAATATTTACGAGGCCCACGCTTTTCTTTATAGTTATTTAAATAGTAGTGTATTACTATACATTTAAAAAAACTCATTTATTTTCTACTTTTTAGTGCATTAGTATATAGATCTAAATGCTTGTTATTAAAACGTTTTTTTTATGAATTTTTTTGTAATACTAGAATTTTTAGGTTGCCTATAAAATTGCATGTACGAATTTCAAAACACTTACTTTTTCCTCCACGCCTGCAGAAGACGAGTTGGATCCTGCTCCATGAGGTACAAGTGTCCAACGACTGGCAGGGCGATGCCAGGACTTGGTGGTAAACCTGTGTGACGTCGTGTGCTCCACCACCAGGCTGACAACAGCACCAACACAAACACAAACTCCAACATTGTAAAGCTACCGCTGACTTCTTGATTACGGAAATATATTTTTAAATCAGCACTTGAAATCAAAATGTCTATGAACTTTCATAAGTTAACTTTATAGTTTATATACTAAAAATTAAGTAATTGAAATCATCGTTGGTTTCATCTTTTGTTTTTTTTTTACATGTTTTCACATTTATATTCAGAAATTGCATGTTATGGATGTATCAAGTTTTAAAAATATATTTGCTACACGTTGTTGTGCTGCCTCACCCAGGGTATAACCAGAGGCGTGGTAAGGGGAGTGCGGGTGGGGCGGCCGCCTCGGGCGCAAACACTAGGGGGACGCCAAACGGGGTAAACAAAATATGATTTTGATCTGCATTACTGAATTATACACAATCACAGTTAAGAAAATAGACAGATTGCACAGTTTTCTACATCGTTTGTTTGGCACCAAAAGAAAATCTGTTACAGGATAGTGACTGGAAGAGTGGGCGTTTTGCGGTAACTTAAATATTTCTTGTTCTTCGTCGTTTTTAATTTTAATGTTGGAAGGGTTCGCCATAAACACACTTAAGTATATGTGTCAACTGATTTTGCGCCATTGAGGTTATTTACTTCGATTTCAGCCTGCTTTTCTTTTTGGATTTACTTCCATAGCCTTTGTCCAACCAAGAACAAATTACAAGGCAGCAGTTGTTTGATTTTGGAGTTGACTCTCCTAAAAAGGGTTGATACGCCTCTGGATAAAACATAAAAGAAACTGAACGCTTTGACCTGGAAGTCCATTATCACAACATGTTTGCTTCAATGGCATTTAGTTCAGCTCTAGTTCCTGCAAAATAAGTTTCATTGAAAACACGCTACCTTGTTTACGTTCACTACGTATAACAATGATCTTTGCCAAATTGGCCTTTACGAATGTTCGCAGTACTGGCGACATACTTCGCTAAATTGGCCCATAGAAATTTTCGTAGTACCGGTCAAATACTTCACCAAGGTGACCCATAGAAAAGATCCGCGTAGATCAGTCTCGACCTAATTTATTTGGAGTCAGATTTTAGACTTTGCCTACCCCCTAGCCATATTCCCCCCCCCCCCCCACACACACATACAATATTAGAGTCAATAAATGCTTATGAAGGTCTACAAAATATTCTTAGGGGTTGGGGGTGGCGTCACTTGAAAGTTATGGGTTTGGGGGTGGCGTCACTTGAATCTTCTACTGAATTAACCTGATTTAACTGTTTTCTACATCGAATATAAGACGCACACAAAAAAAAACAAGTTAATAAAAAGTCTAGTGACAATTTAAGTGCAATTTCCTTAATTAATTTTTTGTGACCGAACGAAAGGATATTTTTGAAAACTTTCTTCGTCAATATTGTTCTAAATTATGGCAGGAATCGATTGGTAAATGTTTCAAGTCGCTAAGTGGTCTGGTTGTCGAGATATGGGCCAAAAACTGCATTTTTTCGAGGTTTTTTTTGGCTTTTCCGGGAAATTCAGGAAGGAATTCCGGGAATTTTTTTGGCCCACAATCATCCTCGGAACTTGCTTAACATATTTGCTTTGGAACTAGTCCTCAATATTGCTTCGTTGAGGAGGAGATACGACTTAAAGCTGCGGACACACATCGGACACACATCCATCCAGAACGAGTTAATAATCGCAATTGTCCGTATGGAAATTGCGCTAAAAACGATTAAGATGGATTGGATATGATTATAGCGGCATAATGATTTTAAAATATGCTAGTGCTAGCCCTGAGAAAAAGTTCAAGTGTCAAAGGTTAAATTATAAGAGGTCAAAAGTTTAACTTCCGAGGGCAAAGGTTATGTTTTGAAAAGGTTGAAAAATAACAACAACACGACGCAATGAGTGTCTTAAAGTAAGAGAATAATTAAATAATTATAATTATTGTCTAGATCTTGATCTAAAAATTCCATTGCAAATTGTACAGGGAGCTGGTGGGTTATTATGTAGGCTAATTTTAATAAATTAAATCTAGAATCTAGTAGTAGAGAGAGTCTAGCCTAGCTAGTAGTGTAGTAGTAGGGTAAAACTCCATTTCAGCGTATTTTATTCTCCGTTGCTTGTTTACCTCCAGTTGAGCGTATTTTATTATAACAACCGAAACACACCAAAACATTAGGAAAACACGATTTATTTTTTGTATTATATTTTTGTTTTAGCAAATGAATAAAAATGAATATTTAAAAAAACACGACTTGTTTAGTTGTATTGTATTTTTAAAAAAAAAAAAGGCATTTGTCTCATGGTGAAACTGATACGCTGTTAATCATTCTGTTTTGTATTTATGCAATAAATGTACAAACTCTGTGTTTTTTAATTTGACAGTTTTGCTAAAACTGAAAAAATTATTTTACTATAGAGTTGTATGTTATTTAAATTCATAGTAAATCTACCATCCTTCCCTTTTTTGTATGAGTAAATTTCTGACTTTTAAAAAAAATTGATGTGGGGTCGTCCATAAATGACGTCACACTCGTAAGGGAGAGGGGGGTCAGCAATTTTATGACGGTGTGTGATGAGGGGGAGGGGGTGGGGTTTCAGATGGTGTGACGTCCCTTTTTTGCATTATAAAAAAGCAATGTTAGAAAAACAAGTTATAGCCGTTATTTCACGTTTTAGAAAACGGTTTTAATAAATTGTAATATGAATTGATCAAAATACTCTATGTTGACAGAGTTCTGACAAGATTTTGGAAAAATTATCGATGTTTTAAGAAAAATTCAACAGAAATTTTGAGGGGGGGGGGGGGGGGGGTTGTAGGCTGAAGTGTGACGTCATTTTAGGGGGGGGGGGTCTGACTTTTTGTGACGACGTGTAACGGAGGGGAGGCGGGAGGTAAAAATCGTAAAAAAAAGCGTGTCATCACAAAAAGCAAGACCCCCCCCCAAAATGATGTAGCACCATCTGAACCCCCCCCTCATCACACACCGTCACAAAATCACCCCCCCCCCCTCCCCCTACGAGTGTGACGTCATTTATGGACGACCTCTAACATTTTTTTTTTTAAATGACAACGTGAGTTGTCACACTTTCTTCTTTCTTTAACACTCCAAGCCATCCCTCACCAAATTCCACCCCCCCCCCCCCTCGGCCAACTTTCGGCAGCATCATTGTGCCTTTTAATACTTTTATTCAGTTTAGTTGAAATTGGAACACTTAATTGTACAAAGTGTGCATCTCTATTTTAAGTATTTTTGTAACCAACAAAGCACTTCAGTCAGTCTCTTTGTTGTTTTTTATTCATTTGTTAAAACAAAAATACAATACAAATAAATAAGTCGTGTTTTTTAAACATTCATTTTATTCATTTGTGAAAACAGAAATACAATACAAAAAATAAATCGTGTTTTTCTAATGTTTTGGTGTGTTTCGGTTATTATAATAAAATACGCTCAACTGGAGGTAAACAAGCAACGGAGAATAAATTACGCTAAAATGGAGGTTTACCTAGTAGTAGTAGCTATACTGGCTGCTAGCTAGACTCTAGTCTAGACTCTTTTCATTTCGTTCGGGGGGGGGGGGGCGGGGGGGCGGTAAAAAATTTTCGGGGGGGGGGGGGGGGGCTCACAGCCCCCCCAACCCCCCCCCCCCCCCCTCCGAAGAGATGCCTGGAAGAAACTCTGTTTGTTAGTAGTAGTAGTGTTAGAGATTGCCAACGCGAGAGCCTCGGCCTCGAGTTCAAATCCGTGTTCAAATCATCAGTGGAACGTCCCTGACCTGAGTCCACCTCTAGATCTAGATCTAGTAATAATTTAATAATTTACTAACACTAACAGTCTAACAACAAGACTCCAACACTCGCCTCATCTGATGACTCACCACACTTCACACACTGTCCTGAAGATTAAAGAAAACTAATCAGTAATGAATATGATGGTTTGTGCTAGGATGTAAAAAAAGAAATATAACACTTGTGATCTAGAACTAGATTCTAGATAACAACTTGTATTCTCGAGCTTCTAAATAGGAAATCGCCAAACCAAAACTGTCATGCAAATTGTGTCTCACTATTTACCCTTAATTTCGCATGTATGTTTATTTACTTACATTTTCTTCTTGCATTTTACCGACTAGCCATGTAGCCATGTAGGGTTTTGTGTCTAGCATTTTTCTCAGACCCTTTTGATGGTTTACATCTTACTGTGTGGGTGATTCTGATAGTCTAATAATTAGTTAGATGCAGAACAGAACAAAGGCTTAGTCTTCAATGTTAATTGTTAGTATTAATTATGCAAAGACAAGTAAAAGACTATTGTGTAGAGTAGATGCTTAAACCTTATTTTAAACACTCAGCAAATTTACAATAGTCTAGCCTTTGGTAGTGGGACACTTAGTACATTTCCATGCTCAAAAGTCCTATCAAACTGCCCTAACAATTTTTTATTCTGTTTTGTTTTTAATTTCAGAACAGCAGCAACCCAGGTGTGGAAAAAGTCATTATTAAACCAATTTAATGTAACGAACCTTAGGGTTACAGACACACCTTTTTGGACAGCAAAGTTTACCATACCTGGTCTGTCTCATGAAAGTTTTGATAGAGATGGTAGGCACCTATTCTTATAATCAAGGTAGAACAATAGGCCTAGCACATCTTTTTCAGGTGATAGATATCCTAGGTAGATGCAGGTAGGATAAAACAATAAGCCTAGAGCATCTTTTCTATGTGAGAAAGAAGTAATGATGAAGGCATAACAATACAACACATTTTATAGGTGATGGAGATGGGTGATGCATATGGTAGAACAGCTTCATTTCCAGGTTTCACTGATAGGCTTTTGATTCTATATTTCTTTCATTAAACATGGTTTTTATACAAACACCTGAAAACGATATAGTATTGTTTTCATGTTTTATTTAGTTAGTATTCCTATACCTATAGCTATTAGGGTTACTGTTATTGACCATGGCTAGATTAAGGGTAGTGATACTAGAAAACACATCTTATAAGCAATCACTTGGCATTTTTACCAGCAACATCTTACAATTTATTTTCTTTAAAACATGGTCAAACATTTTTTCATGTAGCTTGTTTTCACTTCATTATTGTCAGGTATCAGATTACATTTTCTATAATGGTTATTCTGTTGATATTTTAGATTCAGGTGAAAATATTAACAGAAATATCAATGCTAATTTATTTTAGGACACTTGGCCTATAGACTTATTGTAAAACTGTAAATTTTAATATTCTTTTAGCAGATAACAAGACAAAATTATTATTGCTAGTTGTATTGTTTAACATTTAAATAATATTAATATTAATTAGGCCTAGAAAATGTATGGATGCATTTCTTGTAGCGTATTATGATTATTGAGCAACTTTGAATATAAAAGTACTTTTCAAGTGTTAAAGCAAATTAAGAGTAGTAAACACAGCATAATGGATTGGTGTGGACCAGCAGTAGAGAGCTAGGCTGCTAACTTGAAAGATCTGGGATCAAATCAGTCAAATGTCCCTGAGTCCACACAACTCTAATGTGTACCTAACTCACGTTAGGGAAACAAAGGCGGCTGGGCATAGTGTTGACCACACTATCACTTCATATGCCGTGGTGTCTGAAGCAGATGAACTCTACTTGATCTGCCTCGTGTGTCTTGGGCATGAACGAGAAAAGATGATGATGAGATGCAGTATAAAAACTATAGCAAATCCTTGACTTGTAAACTGGCTTAGTTTTTGTTTTGTTTGACAGGCAACCCAAAATTGACCAGTCTGATGTTGACCTCTGTCATATCCAGATCGCACGTCATGAACAGACCCTACAACAATGCTGGACACGTTTTTCTCGACTGGCCAACCATTACAAAAAACAACTTCACCTTTGTGTCCTCCACTCAGTTCACAATGTCAAGGTGGTTGTACTCTCCGGAAGTTCTCAAACAGCCACTGGACGTTGAGTTTGTCATGGGCTATGTTAGAAATTCCTCAATGGGAAGCGTGTCACATTTCTATAACGCTGGTAAAACCATAGAAGAACCTTTATGGTCACAGATGAATCAGCTGGTGTACATTGACAGAGAAACAAGGAAACCCACAGCACTGCCTGATTGGTATAAGAATAAATATAAAGACAAGGGGTGTATGGAGAAACCTGTGTTCTTCAACCCAATGGATCGTCCATCCCCAACATACAAACAATCTGTTGTGGTAAGTGCATTGCTTATTATTTGCCCAAAATCTAACAATATGGGACGGCGTGGCCTAGTGGTAGAGCACTACTGCTTACCCATAAGTTTCAAGTTTTGAATCCAGGTCAGTGGAATGTCTCTGAGTCCACACAGCTCTGATGGGTACCTAACTCACATTAGAGAAGGTAAGACGGCTGGGCATAGTGCTGACCACATTATCCCTTCATATGCCGAGGTCAAGAATTACAAGAACTGATAGCATGGCTTGTAAAAACATTTTCTATAGATTATCTTGACAAGTCTAATTTTTCTTATTTATGTTCATTCTTTATGACACTTTTAAAGAGGACAGTCATTTGAATCAATCACATCAAATGGAGGTGGAATATTTCCACTCTGTTAAGGATAATTCACTAAGTTAACTAGGCCAATATAATAAATTATTGTTATAAATCTTGAAATAAGTATTACAATATCAATTGTTGTTTCTATTATTCATATAGAATTTATTTAAATAAAACCGTAGTGAGCTCCCCATAACTTTCTGGTTTAAAAAATTCAATCAACTCTTTTAGCAGTCTTCCATTTTGAGATTGCTTAGTCTTCCTCTTATTTGTTTTTACAATTTGTCTATGGTTTAACTCACTGCAGTCATCATTTAAAATTATTTTTTTTATAAATTACTGACCAGCCCATTATATATCATTTCAGATTTTATGTGAAATGTCTTTAGTACATCTTTAGGCACTTTTCTGCCAAGCCAATTAAATAGCTTGTCTAATCCAAGTTTTCAGATTGAGTTATTATAAATTCTCATAAAAATAGTCAAGCTTTAGCTTGATTTCTATTCACTAGAAACACAATAAAACCTTTAGAAAATAATTTATCAAAAAATTAAGTAGGGTTAATGTAGCTCCAAAATCATCCCCGTTTTGAGGCTTACTAGAGAGTTAGGAGCTATTTTAATTCTTTAACATTACATTTTACTTAGCTGTCTAGATTTGTAGAGTGGAGTTGATATTTTCCTGACCTTCCAGTATGTCCTACAGTTTTAAAGGCCTAATAATGTATATTTTATTTTCCATGTCAATGTGTGCCATTATCAACATTATTGCTCTTTCTGCCAATATCATTATCTCCTGCCAATACTATTTTCAGCATCCAATCAATATTATAACCAGCAATTTCCCAACAGTTTTTTCTTTGCAAATATTACAGAACAGTTCATCAACTTCTGTAACTGCCCAAAACACATGGATTGGATGAAGTAGAGTTCATCTGTTTTAATGACCTCGGTGTATGGTGAGCGCTATGCCCTGTAGCCTTTGTTTCCCTACCATAAGTCAGGTACCCATGAGAGCTGGGTGGACTCAGTAATGTTCTACAGACTCAAGCCCAGGATCCGAACTCTAGACTTTCAGGTTTGCAGTTATAAGATCCAGCATTTGACCATACCGTCCCAGTTAACCATTCTCATTTCTCCCCAGGTGCAATGGTCAGACACAGACAACTTCAACCACACAAATTTTGCCAGCTACGTACACTGGGCCATCAACGCCATTCACCACGCTATCATGCTGCGAGACACATATTCAAACACTGCGACGCAGTCTAACAACACTGGTGCCACGTCAGTTGGCGCTTCACCAGTTACATCATTCAATGCTACAGCTGCTGGTGCTATTGCAGTCATTGCCCTGCCTGGGATAAGTAAAAACATAATCACAAATGGGCTCAAGGATGTACAGATCCGTTACTTTAAGGAGAGTGTTGAAGGTCAAACGTTGGATGTCCATCTATGGCAAAAACAACATGAAGATAATATTGTGTATTCATCTGTTGTAAGAGATGGGGAAGATTTATGTCAAATCAAACTAGAATATTTTCACTCTGTCAAGGATTAATCAGTTAGATTTATTTAATAAATTATTAATTAACATACTGGAAACTAAACATATAATTAAGTTTTAAATAATGTAACTTGTGTTTCTGTTATTTATTTAGTATTGTTTATTTTAAAAACAATAATAATATGTTCCTAACAAACAGTGGCTACTATAAATCTTTAGGTGTATGCAACCAGTTTTTAAAAAAACAGCTGTTAATTCCTTCTTAAGAGTTTTCTAAAAAATATATTTAGAGTAATATAAAATGTAAACACAAATCTTTTTAATAGTTTAGGCTAATATTATAAGAAAAGACAGAAATTAGCTAATTTTTCCATTATCTTCCATTAATGGTGATTTAATATTTTCTGTTGATTTTCAGGTGATTCTAAAATTTCATCAAATTTTCATTAAACCTTTTGTTCTTACCCAAATATTTTTAATTATTTAAAAAAAAAGAACAAAACCCAAATGCAATATATTTTGTTTTCCTGAGTAGTCAGTATGTGCAGTTTAGTGATGATTATCTAACTTTACATGCAATAAAACACCATTGCACAGAATATATGAAGAAGATTATGTATGGACCCATATTAAGAATAACTAAAAAAATTACATGACATTTTATTTCACCCAGATCATGAGTCATACTAATAATTTCATCAAATCAAAATGCAGAATAACCAAACATGAATATTCTTAATGCCCATTTCCTGTCTATTCCAATTTACAAATGAGAAAATGATAGCTATTTTGAGTATTGACAAAACAGTTTGAAAAAATAAAATTATTACATAGATTGAAGCTGCTATTATTTTTTACTTCTTAGTGAAAATTAGCGGGTTATGCAGCCTTCTCTGTAACCTTTGTTGCCATGGCAATCATGGCTGTACCTTGAACCTAAACTCATTGTTTCCATTTGAACTTAGGTAATTAAGGCTATGTTGCTTAAGGCGCTAACACAGCACACTTGATCTACCTTTGGAAAATTTACCTAATTATAACTCTATCCTTTTAAAATACCACATAATATAGTGTCTTGTTTCTATTAAAGTAAATGCATTTTACTTGTGTTTTTTAAATACTCTATTAGTGAAAATTAGTGTTCAATGTCAACTGACACTTCACACCAGGTAAATTGGAAACTCAACAAAACATTTAATTTAATTTAGTTTGATAAATCAAAGATATCTAACCTTACTTACACTGTTACAGAACTTGTCTATTTCAACATAGTAGAATTATCTTAAAGACACAATAACAACATAGATGTCTATTCTCTCTATCAGATTTACTACCACTTTATGTATCTATTTATATATTTGTTTGTGTACCCCTAAGCATAATCAAAAGTTGAATGGTATAACATTGGATCAATTTGGGAACTTCTATTCTTGATAGTAAAGGGAGAAAAGCATGTTTTCAACAAAGGGAGAAAATCATATTTTCACCATTCAGTACATGTATATGCCAGGTCTGGTTAACCAAATAATCAATAGAACGATAATATAATGTTTAATGCCCAATTTAGAAACATTTTAACAACCAGCTAAGGTGTCAATAATTAACATGCTGATTATGTTTTTAGCCACAGTTGAAGGCCCTTGCAAAGTATTAAGTATTATGCACTTTAATGAAAGCGCAGTCTTTATTCATCGTAAATTAATTTAATTTATTCTGTGTAAACACGCAGGCTGGGTTGATAAACATGAAACATGAGCAATAATAATTCATTTTGCTGACAGTGTATTATTTATATTTTTAAAGTGACAAACAACCCTCACACCCAATGTTTTAAAAAAATCTAATAATAGACATTAACTGATCGCTACGGAAAAAAATGTCCATATATTATCAGGCTGACCATGAGAATAGGCATCTTGAGTCAAGCGTTGGACTGGAACCCCCAGGGGAAAAAGAAAAGTAGACCAGCCTAAGCAATCCTGGAGAAGGATTGGTAAGGATTCAGTCCCAACGATTTCTTTCATTTCTTCGTAAATCTTCTCTTGTACTTCTGGGAAAACTATCAGATACAACACAGCAAAGTGGAGGGTGTTCACAACACTATCTACCCCAGCCGCGAAGAAATCCCAACAGGTATGGAGCAAATTATCAAAAGAGAAGGACGTCTCCGTTTCATTATTTGCCTGTTTTCGTTTCATTTCTTCGAGGTAGATTTCCGCTACACACGTATTGTTCCCATTTTTATTCAAGTCGATGGATTTTCCACACTCTTCAATTATTTCCTTAAAGAAATCTTTCATAGACTGACGTAACGCCATTATGTTTTTGTACCCAAATAAGTCCCCGGGTAGCAGTTTAATGGCACCGAGAAAAAAATGCAGCATGGAAGAGTTCGATAATAAATGAGTGCTAGCCGCCAGCTGTTCTTGAAGCTTGTAGAGAAGCGGATCCTCGTAGTCGAATCGGCGCCCGATAATCATATTACAGACAATATTAGAAATGCATAAAGTGATTAGTCGCCTCACATTCATCGGTTCTCCTTTCATCTCTTTTAAAGCGTCAAGAAAAAAATTGATCTCCAAATTGATTCGTTCGGCCATGCATTTTTTTCCCCATGCCCAGCGTTCGCATGGTCGAGAGAAGAAAAATTCTTTGCTCTTTCCACTCCTCGCCTGCAAGGGAAGCGACTCCTTTTCAGTTCATGATCTCCGTGTGAATGAAACTGTCGGATATGCTCATGAACACCGAATGTTGTTTCACCAGAGCTTCGTGTATGACGTCATATCCGTTAATGAAAACTGCCGTTTTGGATCCCAATTTGAGGGTGAACACATCGCCCAATCTGGTAAATAAATTAAAAACAATTTAAGTTGATGTTTTTTTTTTTACTTTCTCGTTAATATATAAGGTATAGAGAAAGTCTTGTAATCGTGCAAAAAAATCGAGATTATTGTAAATCTCGACGTTTTACACCTTCCTGAGTCGGAAAAACATAGTTTTGCAATATTGTCCGTATGTCGGTGTGTGTGTGTGTGAGTGTGTGTTTATGTGTGTGTAAACACGATAACTTGAGTACCGTTACAGCTAGGTTGATGAAATTTCATAAGTATATATCAAATTTGAAGATCCGTATCAACTTTTGAGCGATTTCTGATAACTTTTCTACTTTCAATTTTTCAAAAGCCTACAACCTGAGGACTGTTTCAGTTAGATAAATGAAATTTTACTTGTAAGTATAAGATCTGTCAAATTTTGAGTATTTTCCGTTGACCGGAAGTAGTAATTTTCACTATTTCCGATTTCTCCAAAAACGCAAATCGATTCATTAAGCTTTTTTCCCCCTTATTACTTCGTCCTTCATTGACCGAAACTTGCGAGCAAACTTTTAACCACTACTACCAGACCGATTTAAATAAAAAAGCTATGTACGCTGTTGAATGATGACTATAAGTTTTTTTTAACCTTGATAATAGTAACAAAGCATCATCTTTTCCCGAATGAGGCAGACGTAGTAGAGTTCATCTGTTTCTATAACCTCGGCATTTGAATCGATAGTGTAGTCAGCATTATGCCCAGCGGCGTTTATTTTTCCTAACGAGAGTTAGTATCCATAAGAGCTGGATGGAATCAGGGATGTTCTATTAACTTGAACTCGGATTCGAACTCAAGACTTTCGGGTTAGCAGTCTAGAGCTCTATCTCTAGGCCACGCCGTGCCCGTAATAGTAGCAAACGACTGTGTTAAAATATAATTAAAAGCCAATCAATATAGCTATGTACACGTTTTATTACTTAACTTAAAGTCTATAACATTCACGGATAGAACTTAAAATAAATGTTCCAACATGTTTCAAGGTAGGGCCTGGGATGGTCGTACTCCTTCCTCAATTGTTACGCCAACTCCAACACTATCACAAACTTACTTTTTTCTCCACGCCTGTAGAAGACGAGTTGGATCCTGCTCCATGAGGTACAAGTGTCCAACGACTGGCAGGGCGATGCCTGGACTTGGTGGTAAACCTGTTTGACGTCGTGTGCTCCACCACCAGACTGACAACAGCACCAACACGAACACCAACACAAACTCCAACATCGTGGTCGCCTTCCAACACAAGAGTGGCGATTTTTACAACAGCGAACACAAACTGGATGCAAGTCAGAGTAAGCATTGATCTACGCGTCGGTCAGGCTGTTTCAACACTCCATGGGTCTTATATACCAGAGACTAACATTATTTATTTGCAGTGGCGTAGGTATGTTAAAGTTATAATAGGTATTTTTGATAGTTTTTTTATATAAAAATATAAATATAGACACACACACACACACACATATATATATATATATATATATATATATATATATATATATATATATATATATATATATATATATATATATATATATATATATCACTTCTCCTAAACAAGACTGTTCTAACTTTAGTGCTCAAAAATTTTCGAAAGGCTTTCATGTAGGCCTATATTAATATTTCCACTTTTAGCAACTTAATAAATGGAATTTGTGTGTGCTATACAATTTATTGCTATAATGCTTTGGTGTTGTTTATATATTTATATATATATATATATATATATATATATATATATATATATATATATATATATATATATATATATATATATATATATATATATATATATATATATATATATATATATATATATATATATATATATATATATATATATATATATATATATATATATATATATATATTTATACATGACCGTATTTTGTTGGTACATTTAGTTTCACCACATCAACACACCTGTGCCTACTGTGCCTACGCCACTGTTTACCTTCATAACGTTTAGTAATGTGAGAAAGGACGAAGTGGATGCAAATGTAAAGAAACATGACGATGTATACTCTAATTAAACACGAATATATTATGCGTCGACCATAAAACACGATACATAGTAAGTGGACATCTTGTTTAGTAATTTGAAATAATTAGCCAACCGTGGAGCGTGGGTTGGTTTGGGGTCTTGTACATTTAAAACGAACCAAGAGTGAGATTCTTTCAGAATTTTAAAATGGTATTGCGCCTACATTTCAGCATGTGTTACTATATGTGACGACGAACCAGTGTGTGGGTGTGGTGGGTGTGGTGGTGGGGGTGGGAGGGGGGTGTTTAGACAGGGGAAGCGATGTTTTCATCAATTTTAACCTTTTCTTTTGGCCTTAAATACTTCTCAGCTTACCTGTCAATTTTCCTGACCGGAACATTGCTATATACATAACATACACACATAAGAAACAACATATAACATTTTAAAACTATTAATTATAATAATAATTGTTATTTTAACAGTTTTTGTTTGTTCTATTTCTTACACATTTGTTTTGCGCTTCCTGTTTCTAACGACGAGCGGAGGTAGCGCACATCCCATTATATATATATATATATATATATATATATATATATATATATATATATATATATATATATATATATATATATATATATATATATATATATATATATATATATATATATATATATATATATAATTGACTGTTGTAAAGAGAGGGTCGAGAATTTCCTAGTATTTAACAGTAAAATATGTGCACATTTTTTTTATTTGTTGGAGACATAAACAGTGTTGTAGGATGAGACCCGAATTGGTTTATGACTGCTTCAGTTGCATAGTATCACGCCCACTCTATGCTACTAGGCATGCTGCCCAGCTTTGCTTAGGCTTTCGAAAACATTGAGAATTTGAATGCTTAATTAATTCGCCCGAGGGTCGGTCTGCGACCTCAGGAGTTATGAAGAGGTTCCTC